ATTACATTACACCACAACTACAACTCCACTACGCCACAACTACAACTACAGTTGCAGTACATCACACTACATCCAGCAGTTGTGGGTGAGGTGACCACTGCAACCATTGCAACCATTCCAGCAAACACAACTCCAACCACCTTTCGGTCAATCAGTGGATTCGCTCTGCCATCCGTGATTCACAACAACCAACGTCTCCTATAGGTTTCCTATTCTGAAACTTCCGCCACCGCCTTGTGCGGTACTACTGGTATATATACATGTATACACGTTTTTGATCTACATATATCTTCTAGGTTGGCTCAAGAAGGCTACACACTGCCCAAAAGCTAGACTGGAAATGCATCATTATAGTGACGCTGCATTTCCAAGAGCTGACTGCCTGCACTGCGCAGCTTGTGCAAGGTGCAGCTTCAAGGTAAGAATGTTTTTACCAAAAGCTGTAGCTACCTGTGACATACCCCGTGTCCCGTGGCCATGTAAACTTGGCCCCGCCCTCTCCGTGGCCTCTTGCACTCCTACAACCCCATGTAACTTGCTACTCAGACCCTGCTGGATAAATCATTGCGGTCAGGATTAAATGTCACAACTCACAACTTTTTCAGATTTTTTGACCCGCCCTCCCAAACCCTAATACAGGGACAGGGGGGGCATAAGGAAACCGATCCGTTCAGTTGCATCACATGGTTGCAAGTCCAAGCCGATGGACTTTGACGACTCCAACCGGGCGACAAGTTGTACAGATGATCCGAGACATCAGAGTCTCGCACAGGACGTTCCCCGATGTTCAAAACAAGCTGCTGACCGGCCGTTTGAGGGTGTGTTGTGACATGAAAGGATTGATGATTGCATTCGAGACCTCAGTAGAAAGTTCAACATGTTGGCATAGTTTGTCGAAGGTTTCATCTGGGGTTCAAGAGGATAAGGACAAGAACGGACAAGGCACACGCTCGTTCGAATTCTCCTCGTGGGTCGCGTTTCATGGCGGTCTTTGCGTCTCTTTTCTCAACGTATTTGTGGTCGCTCGTGGTGTCTCAGGACCCCGGATGATCCACAAAAAACGCGGGGTGTGGATAAACAGGGCCCCGAGGAATTTAAATGTTTGATCCTCTTAGAATTTATAGGTCCGTGGCCGTGGTTTGAAAAACGGTTTACACATTTTTTTGGCATAGGGAACCACAATGGAACCCCCCCACCATTGACAATGCAAATTCGCTTACAAATTACAATCCTGAAAACACCCAGGGTTTCTCCCATGAATTGAGGATTCAACACACCGACGACAATCTTATGTTTTCTTCTTCCATGGGTCACAGGGTCCTGCAGTGATGTCATGGGCCCCTGTGATGTCGACCGTCTCCCTGTCAGGACGAACACTGCGTGGCAGAGCAGTGTGGTTTCAACGGTGGGTCCAAGGATGTGGCATCCATGGTCCAACTCAAGCTTCGCCAGTCTTCCAGCGGCACCGCGGACCTCACGCAACCGTTCTTGGCCCCTCCAGGTCGCTTGATGGAAGCGAAACCGGTTATATGTATGAATGTTTGGACAAAGAACTGCAATCAAATATTCGATGATGAGAACCATTCTAAGAAAAACAAGAAATTGCATGATTTGCAATTATTCGTCATTTTTATCATGGAAAGTAGCCTATGCCTGCATTACACATTAATGTCTTTAGTGAAATATAAAATGTATTCGGGTCGGAAAGAAGTCGCCGATTCTTCGCGGCTTGTACGTCTTCTCACGCCTCATTTTCATGATCTGTGTGGGGAGCGTCGGGGAGCGTCAAAAGGTTTGTGCATGTTTGTGCGATTTGTTGAGTTTGTTGTCTGACTGGCTGCGGCGAACAGTTGGTCTGGATAGTTTGGGTCGTGTATGGTTTGGATTCAAGTGTGCTGCGTCGGGCAGTTTGTCGGTGAGATTAGCTTGTATCCAGGCAAACTTGCGAGTTAGCCGTTTTTTGGCCGGTTGAGTTCTTATTGTACCGCATTGGTTTCTCATGTTGCCTGTCGAATCGGATGGACAGATCAACGAATGTGTTTTCCTGTTTGAAGTGGAGTCTTGAGCCTCTTGAGCTTGGCCCAGATCAGTTTAGATTCTGGTCTTGAACTTCCTCTGTGAGAGATGTTTGTGTCGTGTGTGTGTTTGACTTGTGTGCGTGCGTGTGCATGCTGTTGTCATGGCATGCTGTATCAGGAAATCATTGTTTTCTGATGTTTTCTGGCTAAGTTCTTCCACGGCATTGTTTATTGTGAATCATACCCTGACCAGGTCCGATTTCATATATCCCACGTGTTGAGTACAGTAATCAGAGTGCACAGCGACTGAACAGCAACTGGATTCGCTGTCGCTCTGGCTCAAGACGCGCTACCTCCTGCTATTGATGGAAAAGGACTCGTTGCGCTGCTAGAGGTTGGGTGAATCATCGACAGCAAGATATACACGATCAAGGTGGAAGACTCATACCCACTCACAGGTTATCAGCCGTAGGCTCAGTCTGAGCTTACGGTGGTCCCATATCATTGTTGAGCCCTACGGTGTGGTGGTCGAGAAGGACGACTACACGTTTGGTCGGAACCCCACTCCGGTGGGCGAAACGATCATTGGCTTTGACATTGCCCAGGGCATCCCGCACCACTTGGCCTACTACCAGTCACTGGGCGGTGGTAAACGGAAGTGACTTGCAGGGAAGCTACAGCAATGTCCCAAAAACCCCAATCGAGCAGCAATGAGACAAAATTTTCCTTTGCGGCAGCGGTCCCGGCGGTCAACGACAGTCTCCACCTCATGTATTGAGTGGCCATCAGTGGATCCAAGAGGATCTCTCGGACCATTCCCAACATCCTAAACTCCTCTCCTTTGGCTTTCTGGACATCTTCCCCAGCAGTTGCAAAGCGGTCTGGATGAGTCTCGCGGGACATGCGACGATATGCGGTGAGCACCTGAGCTGGAGTCGCACCGGGTGGAACACCCAGGAATTGATAAAGATCTATACCTGGGTGAGCTGCTACAAAGAGAATCGCTGCATTGGCTCGATCTGGAGCTGCTGGTCTTCGTCCCCCATCGGCACTTTCATCAGTAGCATCCATAGCACCAGCCTTCACTGCAAACGATACCTTACGATCTGGTGCCCACGAAAATGCACGATTGGTGTTTGAGCCTCGAGGAGCTCTGGATATTCGCTTCGTGGCAACTGGGCTGCTAAAAGGGTTTGATCCTCCATGACTGTTATGGAATAACTCATCTTGAGGGACCCCCAATAAACAAGGATAGGACTCTTGAGGTTCAGTTGGAACAACCGCTGGATGCCTACGGGCCCCGGGGTCTTTTTGGCTGGGGAGTGTAATGAGGCTGGTACCCAACATCCCTTCTGAAATCCCTTTCTGAGCGGTATGATCTTCATAAAGGTAAGCATGAACAGCATCGGATGACCAACCACCGTACCTCTTAAGCCTTTCTAAGTCCCCAGTGCTTGCGAAAAATGCAGTGGCTCCCCCCTTACGTAGTGAGTGTGAACCAGCGAGTTCGCCAGGAAACCCAGCGGCCAATGCAGCTATCTTGATGAAATGCCCTCTCTGTCAAGCCCCGGCCCGTCTTCATAGCGGAACAAAGGCGCCTCGTCTTCAGGGCTGCGCCATCGATGGGGCTGTAGGACCTGTAGCGCAGCTAAGGCTTCAACAGGGCAGAGATCTCCACCGGAGCGGTGGTGTGACCGTGTTTGGCCCCTACCATACTGATCGGTTTTTGAAGATCTAATCTGCACCACGACTTCATCGGCCTTGGCGCCTATGGTAGGCTGCCCACGCGAAAAGAAAGCAACATCACCTGGGCGGAGCGCCCTATTCATGGGGTCTTCTCCATTGATGCTGGGCAAGAGTTCACTGGCCCGCATCATGAAGAACCAACCTGTAAGAAGGGCTCCTTTGATCATGGTTTGATTGACAACTGATAAACCGCTACTTTTCAAGTGCTGGACCAACCATCGCAACATGTTGGGGGTAACAGGGAGCTTTCGTTTTGGGGCGCCTTCCCAACGTTGTAGACGCGCAACCGCTGCCCACAACCGAGGTCGCCCGACTAGTGGATCAGGGTATACTGCCGCAACATGTGCATAACGAATGGCTGACAACCTTTGTCTGACCCCACCTATGGACCTCCCCATGACTTGATGTAGAAATACTACAAACCGAATCAATTTGCAACCTCTGCTCATCTTCAGTCCGAGCGGAGCCCTCTTCTCCGTCAAGGAACAGGTGAGTGCCCGAGCTGGCATTGTACAACGCCCATTGCTTCCAGCCTGATGCATAGACCTGCGAGTTGAATCAGCCAGTTTGGCCAAGACAGCTTCCATGGCTACCTGGTCAAGCTCTGCTGTGCTCCCTCCTCGGGGACGGGGGATCCCAGTAGTCCCGCCTCTTTTGGATGCAGGCTGGACCAGCC